AATGGCATGAAAAATTGTGGCTAACAAACGACAACAAAGAGATTCATTTTCTCTCATTCCCTTTCCCTTTGTTTGAACCCCCAACCAAACGCCCCATAAATAAGACGAGGAGAGCATAACCTTAGTTTGGAGGGAGTGAATAAGATAACTCTATTGTACTCGTATGAGTTATTGGTTCTGTCAACGTAAGAGAAAGTCAGCTTGTGGTATGGGGCCGGGTGGTTCGGAACACAGATTTACAGAATTTTAAAAAAGAAAGAACCCAACAAAGGAAATGGGCCCCATAAAGTGTGTATTCAACTCGTAATACTCGCCAACATAATATCACGCTTAGCCTGCCCATAATCTTCCACGAGCTCTAATAAGCCAACCACAGCCTGACACGTTTTAGGAAGACTTTTTTTTTTTATTTAAATTAAAGTTTGTAATTGATGAATTAATTATTGGTCTGAGCAAATTACGAGGAGATTGATGTAAGATACGGAGTAGAAATACAGTGAGTATTTGAATTTATCAAATACTCGTAAAAGTAATGTTGTTTTGGACAACAATAAAACGTTGACTTACTTGGTAAGGTCCTTATCTCAAATCCCACAGGTTAGATGTTCAAATCCTATCAAGTGTGGGTTTTTAGGGGTAGAGATTCCCTTACCTTACTCTCTACTTTCAAGTGTCTGGCCCGTAAATACTGGATCAAAAAGGGCATGAGGATTTTAGTTTGGTCAGAGTCTTCTTTCTAAATTTTTTTAAAAAATACTCCTTCCGTGTTTAAATAAATAAAACGTTTTGACTTTCATGGAGTTTTAAAAAGGTTAGTTGCATTTTATGAAATAGTAGGTATTGGGGTTAATTGTAAAAGTTTAAAGTGAGAGAAGAAAATAAGGGGTTTTGCGGAGACCATTAATACAAAAAGTAAAAAACGTCTCATTTAGTTAAACATGGGGGAGTAGAATATTATTAAAAAAAAATATAGAGATAAATTACTAAAAAAGTAAATCGAGTGTACGCACCCTTATATTGCTCGATGTGCACACAGAGTAATGTTAGTGTAAATCGAGTGTACACAAAAGTTTTTGTTGCTATTAATGGGCGTATCTAATTGTTGTTTTATGTGACCCTTCTCCTTACTAAAAAAAAAAAAAAGTTGTTTTAAAACCAGTTCGATAATCGACAACTAAGGCCCCGTTTACTTCACCTTATTTACTGAACTAAAATTATTTTTATTGAACTGAAATTATTTTTGCTGAATTTAAATTATTTTTACTAAACCGAAATTAATTTTACTGAACTGAAGTTAATTTTACTGATTTTCTATTATATTTCTTTTTTAAGTTTACTGATTTTTATTGAATTGAAATTAATTTTACTGAAGTGATTTTTTTTTTTTTAAGGTGGAGTGAATAGAGACTAACATGACTGATGCTTACTACCATAATTTCATTCCTAATTTCAAACACACAAAATATACTCGTAATAATGAGGCCTTGTTTGGTTGCACTTTAATAATGGGGGAAATGCAAATTCATGGAAAATGTGTTTAAGAGTAGTTGTTTAGTTAGCAAAAATAATGTAGGAAGTGGAAATTCCTACAAACATGGGAATTAATTTCCCACACCCTACCTTGGTCATTCAAACTTCCCATATGTATATTGGGTGAAATTACATTATTGTCCTCAAAATTTTGGGAAAGTAGTTAAAGTTATTATAATACATGGGTATTACATAAGTTAACCAAACAAAACATAGGAAACTAATTCATGGGAAATATGATTTTCTATATGTCAACCAAACACAATTTTAATTATAAATTTGTCCTATAGTAATAGAGTTGTAAGTTATATTATGAATGTGTGCTAATTTTTGCTGGCCTCAATTCATTTTAATTAAATTTCTTATTCGTTTTTTCTTAAAAAAAGCGCTACATATACTGCAACAAAAAAAAAAAAAACCTCAAAACAATCAATTTTAGAAATGAAAATATTCGTAATATAAGATCAACTTTGAACATCGTAAACCATCCTACTTTGCGATCTAGGCAATTGATTATCACTTTAAAAGTAGTTACCATGATTAATTGATAATTATTGATGAGTAGGATGTAAATTTGTAAATGTAGTTGTGAGTAGTTGCATTGTCTAGTTGGGGAGATTAGAGAGACAATTCTTAGGGTGGAGTTGCAATCACGCTAAGCGAAGTGCTTTCCACTTACTTCTACGGACTAGAGACGGGAAAATTGAAAGGAGAAAACGATTACTCCATTTTTTAAAAATGAATTTATGACAATATCAATTAGTTTCAAACGGGATGATTTAGCTAAGCTTGTTGTAGTTGTTACAATATGCTCAAAGTGTCATAATATTTTAACTAGCAAAAGCTATTTGTAACTATCATAAAGATGTAACGAGCTTGGTTAATAAAGTCTTGAAAAAAATACATGCCTAGGCGCCCACCAATCAGCTTACTACAAATTGCTTAATCACCTAAGAATTTTCTTAATGATGTGTGAACACAAAAGCAAGATGCAAAACCAAGGGAATAAAAGAAATCAAAATTTTCAGAAATAATTCCTCAAAAAAAATAAAATAAAATTCAGAACTAACGTTCTGTTAGTTATTGGGCCACCTTTATGAATTGGTGACTAAGATTAAAACTACAAAAAGGAAATAATGTACGAGGCCCATTATTCCATTAATCTACCTTTTGAATGCATATTAAATTTGTACCATCATAGAATTTATGTACTCTTAAGCTTAACCCATCATGGAGTTAAATGATGGTGGCCTGGTGGGAACTTAGAAGAACTTTGTCCTCCTAAAGTTTCATCGTACGGATTCTAATTGTACGGGTTATTTTCATGGGTTGTATCTTGCAATGTACGACTAAGGCTACTAACAAGATTTAAGCACATAAGCAAAGAAATAAACTATGATGTATTAAAAAAGTTATACTCATCTTCTTTCCCATTTTTTGTACCATACGGCCGATATGGGTCATGGCTAAAGATAACCAAACCTAACCGGTGTAGTGGTTAAAGCTCATGCTCAATGACTTTAAGGTTATAGGATCAAACTCATTAAAAAGCATTTTGGAATAGATTCTTTTACTCTTTCCTCACTTTCAAGAGCCTGAGTGGGCTAGGAGCACCTTCGCAGCCCAGCCCAACTAAAAGAAAGGTTGATGACTGCTAGTGCTACAGCCTAGCAAAAATTGAGCAATTCAGATGGACAGAAGAATTAAGATGATGATAATAATGATCATAGTAATTCAATGGTGAGTTATTTCAATGGAGAGAATGAAATTGCAAGACTTGTGATACGGAGTACAAAAATATAATCTGCATTTTCAAAAGAATTGTAAATGAAAGGTTGTTCATAGTAATGATGACGACACTCTTCAAAGGATTTTCACTCTCAAAATACAATATTAACATGTACTCACATAAGGGTGTATATATATTGAGGAACAAAAACCAAGCTCAATGATCCTTCTTTTGAAAAGATTTACAGATTAAAAGAAACCAAAAAAAAAAAAAAATCGCGAAAGTCAAATAAGATCTACCAGTTACTTCCAGCAGATCGGAAGTTATGTCTGACATCAACTTTGGCATTACTTCTTACATCTTCTCATTGTATATTGAGGTATATAAATTTTCTATGCACCTCCCCATACCATTATAACACAGAAATATACACAGTCATCAAGTGAAAAACCGGATAAACAGATATACACGTCAAATGAATGCATCGAAAGGTTGATAGCAAGCCTCAGTGCAAATGAAAAGGTTGCTGTTATACTAAGTTTTAAGTAGCAAACATTACCACTCCACATAAAGCAACACCCCTTGCACTACAGGTCGAGACTTGAAAGAACTTCAGATAGATTAAGGCCCATCCTACACAAGATTCAAACGTAAATACTACTAACACAATATAATGCAAGACAAATGAATCACATGATTTACTAACACAAGATAACACAATAACCTCACAGCCATGGTGTGGTAACTTCGGCTAAAAATACTACTACATACACGATCAAAGACTTACAAGTCTACAATGTAGTGTGGGCATTGCTCGAATATCCAAAATTTGCCATTCTAACACCTCACATTTTTCATCAGATAACCAAGATGTCACATTGAAAACATATCCTATTATCGAAATTTCATAGAGTTTGCCTCAACACTTGACTACAAGAGCTCAAACAACTTGAATATGGAGTATTTGATGCACAAGAAGCAAATTGAATGTATAATTTTACTTCGAATTTATTTTTATAAAGCTAGTTAAAAACAGAGAACCAAACTAACCAAGAAATTCTTCACTGAAAGAGATTTGATTTACCACAAGCTACAAAACACAAACATAATATAGTTCATTATCAGCCAAAGCCAAAAATAGAGCTCCAGATACCCTATGATAAGTTGATAACTAAATTTCATGATGAAGCAAAACCTACAAGAGCTCAATGACCTCGATTGACTTACTGTCTGCAAAACTACACAAAAAACCAGTTTCAGATCAAAGACTAAAAATAGTAAACCATTGTATAGCAAAAACTAAAGTGCTCTAATAAACTTGAACAAACTGCATGATCGACGAGGTCAGTTTAGCAGCAATAGCTACAATAGGAGCAATCTTTGAAGTCTTTCCTACACCACGAACAATAATCCTGCTTCCCAATTCTGCTATGACACCACCACAACATGTTCGATAGCGAATTCCCTTCATCGAAACCTTTCAGATTTCTGATCTTGTTCAATGCATTTTTGGCATCAACTGTGGCTTCCAATGCGTAAGCATAGCCCTTCCAATCGTCACTAGCATCCTCTCTTGCCAAAGACGGTGACACCCAATCGATAACCTCTCTAACGTATCCAAGATCAGAAAACAGAATCTCAGTTAATGCAGGCATCAGTGGCCTTACTTGTATTCCCACCCTACATTCCCCGTTCCCTGCATCAGTGAACCACAACTCGTCTTCTCTCTCGTATTCCCAAACTATACCAACCATTTTATTCTCCTCAACGAATTCCCCCTCATAACCTGTCCTTCCTTAACATGCCACCATGTCTTAGCTGCTTCGATCTCAAACGAAGCAAGTGTCGAGCCAATAGCCACAAGATGATCATCACCAAACACCTTACCCAACAGTGCAGCTGAGTAGTAAGCATTGATAGAAGCACTTGGATTTTCGGAATTCCGTTCATGATCATCATTCAAATTCCTCGTCCATGAATGCAGTTTATACACATCAAATGACCTAAGCTTAGTGTACTTAGATTTCTCCCCTTTTCCCAAGCTCATATAAGAGGCTACTAGTGCATACACTTTCCTCTTAAATTTCATCCCCCATTGAACATCAATTTTCGAAAGAACCGCAATAGAAAACACAAAATAACCCAATGCATAAACATGATTATTGTAAAATCCAAACCCATCATCTGCCTCCGGATCAACAGAACCATGTTTTGATACAACTCCACCCCATTTCTCATCATACAAAAACGCATTTTTTTCAAAAGAACCCACTAACCAAGGTTCAATTGAATCTCTCAAAAACTTCCTTATCCCTGGAATCACTTCCAAACAATTCACTTCTTCAGCAATCAAAGCCAATCTAGCAGCCCTAGAAACCTGCATTGAATAGTAATAAACATTTGTTGTCGAAATCGGGTTCGAACCTAAAGCCCCAACATCTTTCCATAGTGCAGTAACAATTTCTGGGTAACTTTCTTCAGGAATTCCTCTAATTGAATGCCAAGAAATTGGAATATTATCAACCCTCAAATTCCATCGATTGCCAACAATTCCAACTAAATCACCATCTATGCTTTTATACCTAAAATCATCAAGAACTTTAACCCCAGAATTATAAACTAAAAGCAGCTTAACATGTACAAGATGTGCTAACATCAACAATTCACCCCACCCCTTTTTCTCCCATTTGTAATCCAAACTAAATGGGGTTGAAAAGACTGCTTCCCCATTTGTTGGATAACAAGTGTTGTGAAAATCAAGAATTTCCTCAAATTTGTTTGTTTTTTCTTGAGGAATAACAGCAATTCTAACTACCCCAGAAAATGATTTTGAACTTTTGAAATGGGTATCATCTTGTTTTTCCAGATTTAACTCAGAAGACGAGTAAACAACCCAAGTTTGATTGTTTTCAAGTTCAATTCTGTGTTTCGTTTGAGAAGAAGAAGAGGAGATAGTTTGAATTGCAGAATTCGTCGCAAATAAGAGAGGCAAAGGTCTAGAAACTTCTAGAGTGACATAAGGGCTTCCTCTTGCAAGCAAAAACCTAAAATCAGAGGCTAAGAAATCAACAGTAACAGTCAAATCGCTGAACGCGGACACCAAATGAGGAGATGATTGTGAAGTGGAAATGGTGAAATCAGGGGAGAAATCCTGGGAAATGGAAGAAGACGACGAGGTGAGAGATGGGTATGAGAGAGAAAGTGAGGAGAGAGAAAGTTTGACGAGATAAGGGTGGACGAAGATGGGTTGATCGCCATTTTCTAGGGTGAAATTGGTGAAGAAGGAAGTGGTGGGAAGAGCAGAGGAGAGGAGTTTTGGGGAGAAGAAGTTAGATGGGTTAGGGGTAATGTTGGAAAATGCAAGAGGGAAGCAGAATTGAGAGGTTGAAGATGAAGGGGTTTCGAGTTTTGGTGCCATTGTTGTTAATGGAGGTTTGGTAGTTTTGTGAATTTGTGAGAAAGTTTAGCGGTTAAATGGTGTAAATTGAGAGGGTTTTAAGAATTATGGTGATGATGGTGTTTTGAATAGAAAGTTGAATTTAAAGCTGAAAATTTTGGGGGAAAAGTCAAAAAACTGAGGGAGCCCCGTTTATCTGGACCTGATCAAACGCCGGGCCGTGTCGGGTTCGGGCCGAGTTGCTGTGTTTTTCCTGTCCATGTTGGCGGGCCGGGTCAGTATTTGGGCCAGAATGTTGCTGCCCAAACCCGTCCCAATCGAGACTATCAGACCATTCACCACTAGCCCAAACTTGTCTAAATTTATCAATTTTAATTATTTTTTGTAATTTAAAGTTTGCTAGTGCATAAAACTATAAATTTTAATTTTTTAAAATTTTAACTAAACTAGTACAAAAATGTTAAAAAAAAAATTAAAAAAAAACAAACCGGCACCCCAATCACCCTCCACCACTAGCCCTAACCACCTCCAACCAACCCAGACCAGACCACCCCACCCAGACCCCGTACACCCACCCCCACCCACCGTAACCACCACTCCCCCCACCCAGAATAAAAAGACGAAAAAATTCATAAAAAAAATGAGAGGATGAGAGGAAAATCAAAATACAGCAAAATGGAATATACAAATAAAAAAAAAAATCTAATACACAAATTGAACGGACGAATTAAAAAATCTGGAAATTAAAAATCTAATACACAAAAAAACGGATCTAATACACAAAAAATTAAAATCTGGAAATTAAAAAATCTGGAACGGACGAACAAACCGATGAACTTTAACCTTCGTTGCTCGGTTCCGGAGAAGCTCTGCCCGCATCTCAAAAATTCCGGTGAAGCTCGATCTGCTCGCATCTCTACAAAATTCCGGTGAAGATCTAATATACAAAATTCTGGTGATGCATAACGGAGAGAGAAGATGAGAGGAAGAGAGAAGAGGAGAAGAAAAGAGAGAAGAGGGAAAGGAGATCGGATGGAGAACGAAGAACGAACCGGTGAAGAGGCGCTTCAATGGAGAACTCAGAGTAGGCTTTAATGGAGGAGAGAGAGAGACGCAGCGTTGTGTCTTGTGTGGAAGTCTAGAAGATTGAGAAGGAGAAATGAAAGAAATGAAAACTTGAGAAAGAGAGTAAGGAAGAGGGAGTGAGTGAGTGACAGCTGCTGAAAATCTGAAATGAAATAGTTAGGCTGTTTACTGTTAGGGTTTATTGGACACCTCATTTTTTCGAGCCAGGCCGGGCCAGACCTGCTGCCCAAACCTATCCAGAATTTTTTCGGGCCTATTTCCCTTGCCCAAACCCGCATTTCGGGCTCAAAAATTCTGCCCAAACCCGGGCAAATTCCGGGCCGGGCCATACTTGATCAGGTTTACGTTTATCTCAACAAAATATCTCGCTCAACATGATATATATTTTTTAAATAAGTCAATATTAATGGGACCTATATTTGATAAAAAGTTATTAATAACTTATTGATAGAAATGTCACTAGATAAATATGGAGTACTCTTTTTTGTTTATCATGAAAATAAATTTGTATTTTATCGAAAAAATTAATCTTGGATTGAGCAACAACTATACGAGTAAAAAAAATTGCCTCATTTTACACTCCAAATTTCTCTATTATTATTTGAAGTTACTTATTTTACGAATTTAAAAAATTATTTCTACTAAACAAAACATATTTCTATATTTTTTTTTGTACCAAATACTCCATCCGTTTCATAATATTAGTCCCATATGAAATCAATCACATAAAATAAGGAAAGTGGAATATTTGGAATCTAACATTAAAGTACAAAATAATTCATAATTAGTTTACCTTATTTAGCAAAAATATTTCATTAATTTAATGAAGATGGGTTTACCTTATTTAAGTTTTTTGATTTTTTTTTGGGGAAAGCATAAGTCATGATGCATAATTCAAGATAGAGATTTCTTTACTTAGAGCCATGTCATCAATCCACAAATTAATTCCAAAAAAATTAAGTTAAAAATGAAACATATTCAATATGGGTAGATCTTTTTGAAACGCTCAAAATAGTATATGAGACTAATATTAGACCATTTCCATTGGTGAGACTCAACTTTGAGTATTGAAATACAAAACGCGAGTTGTTTTTTACCTCCAATTGTGATACCCAACCCACTTCTCAATTTAGCAACTCATGTGAAGTCTAATTTTCCAATGGTGAGACTCCCTAAAGTATACTAATGTCACTTTCAATTTATGGCCCACCTAATTCATATTGTAAGTTTTTCAAAAAAAAAAAAAAAAAAAAACTTAAATAAATTACAAAATATTTTATAATATTGATAAAGGGCCCACACTTTTTGTCAAATGAAACTCAAAGTTGAGTATCTAAACTTAGCAACTTTCTTTTGGAGTTGCTAAGTTTAGATACCAACTTATTGGTATTCTTTGCAAAAAATACTCTCTCTCTCATAAAAAAACTCTCTCAAGTCTCACCATTGGAGATGATCTTATGAAACAGAGGGAGTATTTTTTTTTTAAAGGTGAAGAAAAGAACATGACAATTTATTAACTAGCGTATTAGATGAACACACTTTGTGAACATTTTTTTTTCGTATGTGCTCGCGCGCGCAAAGGAGGGTAATACTTTATGAACATTATGCATTGTGGTAAAATCAAATTTTGGTGTTTTAAGGGGTGGTTATTTACGATTTTTCCTAATTTCAATATGCGTTTTGAACAAATTATACATTGTGGTATATAGACAAACATGATAGAATTAAGTTATAACATGATCAATTTAACAAAAATGGAAGACTATTAATGGAAGACTAAGCCGTAAACCAAAATTTTTTTTAGCTAAAAGTGTTGATTACAATGTAGAGATGTTATAAACCCAAAAGTTACCAATCTATTCTATTACACTTTCTTTGTTTCGTATTAATCGCAACACTTTTCTTTTACATGTGTTTTCATATTAATTGCAACACTTTTATATTTGAAAAGGATCCACTATTATTTTATAATTTATCTCTCCCACTCACTCCACTTTCACAAATATTTTATTATTTCTCTTTCCTATGAATCACACTTATACTACTTTTTTTTTTTATTATTTCTCTTTCTTACCAACAATACTTTATTTATAAAAAATCCTCTTTTAGGCCCCACTCTATAAATTTTCTTAAAGTTTGTAAACATCCTAATGTTACGATTAATATCTGCTAATGTTATTAGCCATTTCATGGAAAATGTACAATCAGATGAGGCCAATCAAAGCACAATTGAAGTGAAGAAGGATAAAAGAGGACAAAGATCGAGGAAGGCAACCAAAGCTAACTTTATGCATGTAGCTAGGTTTGTTCAGAGCTGTATAAGATTCAAATTCATCCCGTTTTCCAAATTGAACTAACAACCACAATTGTTGTCAGTCCTTGGAAATAGATGATCCATTGCATACGCGATTACTTGAAAAATTATAAAGCTATATACTCCCTCCGCCTGCTATTATCTGCAACAAAGGAGTATTATTTATGAGATATAAAATATTCTTTTGTTGCAGATAATAACGGGCGAAGAAAGTATATATATATATGCCACCTTAGTCCTAAAAAAAAAATTGCACTAGAATGTAGTTCTTGATAGAAGTTTTAATTCCGTTCTAACCACATCATACGGAATTACCATAAAATTAGAGCAGGGATTCCCAAGCCTAGCCGGATAACCAAAAGTGAACATTAACAACCTAAATTTAATCCAATATGACTCATATATCACATTTTGTATTAATACTAAGTCTTACATTGTTTCTTATTTTGTTGGAGCAGTTCAACTTGAAACCAATCACCCAAATTAAAGCCGACTAATTGACCCGAGTTTCCATGCTCCTTCCTTCCCTTGCCCAACCCACAAACTGCTTCAGCAGGCAATCCAGAATAGTAAAAGAAAACAGCCTCCTCAAAGCTAGCGATGCCACCACTAGACAATGAAGTAAGACATGCAAACAAGACACAGTATGAATACCTAGTACGAAGTATATTACTATTAACTTATTAAGTATAAAACCAATCCCAACCTCTTCGTTAGATATAAAAATGCCACTAAACATTTATTTATCATGCAGTCTTATAATGGCACTTTATAGTTTAAAGACTTTATACTACTCCCTCCATCCCTAAATATAGTTTCTGTTTGACTTTTTACGGTCTTCAAAATATGTCTTAAAGCGTCTATATCTTTATTTTCGTATGCGTAAAAAATATAAAAACTTGATATTGATAAAATATATAATGTGACGAATCCAACAAGATCTCATATGAACATATAATCTCTCATAAATTAATAGGAATTTATAGTCAAAGTTTTCAAAGTTTGACCCAAATAAGTCAAATGAGAACTATACTTAGGGATAGAAGTGAAATAGGTGAAAGAAAGTTTTGATAAAAAAGCACTTGGCAAAACTCAATAATATGAGCTAGGGTCTCTGTAAACCCATCCACAACATAAAAAAGATGTTGAGTACAATTCTTGGACAGAAATCAACTCAACTCTGCTACTCGCTGCAGCATCAACTTCAGCTCAATCATCCTCAGTAAGACAGTAACACAACGAATTTGAATGGTGTAAAGAACCTAATTGTGAAGCTTTCAAATGAAGGATTAACAAGTATAAATTCCGGTCAATTTTGGTAGAAGATAACATCACAATAAGATTAAATGAAACTGATTTAGGATTTATTAATAAAAACCATAGAATAAATATTTTAAAAACAAGATACAGTAGTTATCATGAGATTCATGACTATAAAAATGTAAAATTTTTACTATTGTGAAACTAAATATTAAAATGAAATAAACAAAAATAAGATTTCGTTTGTATTATGATCAATTCTATAGGAACGAAGAGAGTAACATTCACCTTTCTATGTTCTTGTACATTATCATAATTAAAGAAAAGGGCACAAGTGATTCCGCCCAAGGTTGAATGGAAT